GCAAACTCGAAATCGGAATCGCGAGTCGGAATCCCGGAATCGAGTCGGTTCGAAGTCGGAATCGCGGAAATCGATTCGAATCGAACCGGCAGAATCGGAATGACCCCTGGCTGGGGACGGGGGGGGAGGCGACGCTGAATACAGCGTTCGTGGCGGAGGGGGCAGTGGGCGGGGGGCCCGCTGGGGCGCTGGGGACGCGGGGGGGCTCGGGGCAGAGAGCCACGGCGCGGGGGTCCCACTCTGGCGCTGGGAAGCGGGGGGGAGGGGGGTGTTCGACACGGAATAAACGCGTTTCGTGGCGGAGGGGGCAGTGGGCGGGCCCCCCGCTGGGCCTGGGGACGCGGGGAGGCTCGGGGCAGAGAGGACGCGGCGCGTGGTCCCCACTCTGGGGGCGCTTGGGGGACGCGGGGAAGCGAGGGGGGGAGCACGTGCCGACGCGGAATAGAGCGTTCGTGGCGGGGGGGCAGTGGGCCGGGGCCCTAAAAAACCGCCACCCACGCTGTTGCGCTGGGGAAGCGGTGTGGCTCGGGCAGAGAGCCACGGCTCGGGGGTTCCCACTCTTGGCGCTGGGGTCCGGGGCGGGCGAGGGGTTTGCGACGCACTCACGGCCGCGTGGGCGGAGGGGCAGTTGGGCTGGGCCCCAGCTGGGGCGCTGGGGCAGAGAGCCCGGGGCGCGGGGGTCCCACTCTGGCGCTGAGGACGCGGGGGGGCGACGCTGAATAAAGCGTTCGTGGCGGAGGGGGCAGTGGGCGGGGCCCCAGCTGGGGCGCTGGGGCAGAGAGCCACGGCGCGGGGGTCCCACTCTGGCGCTGAGGACGCGGGGGGGCGACGCTGAATAAAGCATTCGTGGCGGAAGGGGCAGTGGGCGGGACCCCTGCTGGGGCGCTGGGGGCGCGGGGGGGCTCGGGGCAGAGAGCCACGGCGCGGGGGTCCCACTCTGGCGCTGGGGACGCGGGGGGAGGAGGGTGCGACGCGGAATAAAGCGTTCGTGGCGGAGGGGGCAGCGGGCGGGGGCCCCGCTGGGACGCGGGGAGGCTCGGGGCAGAGAGCCACGGCGCGGGGGTCCCACTCTGGCGCTGAGGACGCGGGGGGGCGACGCTGAATCAAGCATTCGTGGCGGAGGGGGCAGTGGGCGGGACCCCCGCTGGGGCGCTGGGGGCGCGGCAAGGCTCGGGGCAGAGAGCCACGGCGCGGGGGTCCCACTCTGGCGCAGGGGGCGCGGGGGGAGGAGGGTGCGACGCGGAATAAAGCGTTCGCGGCGGAGGGGGCAGTGGGCGGGGGCCCCGCTGGGGCGCTGGGGGCGCGGCAAGGCTCGGGGCAGCGAGCCACGGCGCGGGGGCCCCACTCTGGCGCTGGGCACGGGAGGGGGGGGGGGGTGCGACGCGGAATAAAGCGTTCGCGGCGGAGGGGGCAGTGGGCGGGGGCCCCGCTGGGGCGCTGCTGGGGCGGGAGAGCTCGGGGCAGAGAGCCACGGCGCGGGGGTCGGCCCCACTCTGGCGCTGGGGACGCGGGGAGGGGGGGGGTGCGACGCGGAATAAAGTGGCCGGAGCGCTAGACACCCTGTGCAAGAAGATGAACTTGACACGTTCTGATAAGGGGGCCTCCTGGGACATCCTGGGAGCCTCCTGGGAATCTCCCGGGGACACCTGGGGCCTGTCCTGGGCGTCCTGCGGCCTGGGGCTCCCAGGGTCCCATGGAGGATATGTAACATGTGGTCTTGTGGGCCCCCAGGCTGGACCACCTCTTGCGCGGCATCTGGAAGCTCAGAGTTGCGAGAATGTCTTATGCGAAACAGGCCGGACCACCTTGCGCACGGCATCTCAGAGCTCAGAGTTGCGAGGATGTCTCAGGCGAGACGGGCCGGACCACCTCGCGCAGTGCATCTCAGAGCTCACAGTTTTTCGAGGATACCTCCAGTCGGGCTCCCGGTTCCCATGGAGGATTTTGAACTTTGGTTTCTGGGCCCCCAGGCTGGCCACCTCTTGCGGCGGCCTCTGGAAGCTCAAGTTGCGATAATTCCTGTGGTAACAGCCGCACCCAACCCTTGGCTCGCAGCATCTCAGGCTTCCCCCGGAGGTTGCGGAGGATTCTCACACGAGCCGGGCCGAACCACTCGGCTCAGGCAATCTCAGAAATCTCAGAAAAATAAAAAAAAAAAAAAAAAAAAAAAAAAAAGAAAAAAATCAAAAAAAAAAAAAAAAAAAAAATAAAGAAAATAAAAAAGAAGAAAAAAAGTTCGAGGATGTCTCAGGCGAACTGGCCGGACCACCTCTCGCGCGGCATTCCCGAGGTCAAAGTTCGAGGATGTCTCAGGCGAAATGGGCCGGACCACCTCGCGCAAGGCATCTCAGAGCTCAGAGTGTCGAGGATGTCTCAGTCGAAACGGCCCGGACCACCTCTTGCACGGCACCTCGGGGCTCAGAGTTTCGAGGATGTCTCAAGCGAAACGGCCTGGACCACCTCTCGCGCGGCGTCCCGGAGCGCAACTTTTCGAGGATGTCTCAGGCGAAACGGCCAATCCCGGCCAACTCAGAAACGAGAGTTGTGAGGATGTCTCAAGCGAAACGGCCCGGACCATCAAATGTTTGTGAGGATGTCTCTGCTCCCCCTTCCCTCGGCCGGAGTTAATTAGCTTCTATCACAACAGCACCCCGTTCAGCAAGCTGTTTGGCGAAATTACGCTACCGAGGAACCCCACATACCTATTTTATTTCCCATGTGTACCATCGGTGCTTCTGCTGCTGCTCCTCCTTCTCCTCCTCGGTGTCCTCCTCCTGCTGCTGCTTCTGCTGCTGATGTTTCTGCTGCTGCTGCTGCGTCTGCTGCTGCAGCTGCTGCTGCTGCTGCCGCTGCTGCTGCCCCACCTCCCCGTCCTCCTCCTGCTCCTCCTCCTCCTCCTCCTCCTCCTCCTCCTCCTCCTCTACCTCCTCCTCCTCCTCCTACCTCCCACGCACCCCTGTGCGTCGAGGAACATGCCAGCCTACAACGCCCTGGGAGCCTGCAACTCAATAGGGCCCCCACCCCCAACGCACCCCCTGGGGGGGGGGTGGCGTCCGAGGAATGCCACCCTGCCACGCCCCCTGGGGCCTGCAACGCATGGGGCCCCCACCCCCACGCACCCCTTGTGGCGTCGATGAAATGCCCGCCTACCTTGCCTGGGGCCTGCAAACGCAGCGCACTCCCCCCACCCCCAGCGCACCCCCCTGTGGCGGCGAAGAATGTCCACATACGCCTGCCACGCCCTGGGAGCCTGCAACGCTAGGCCCCCACGCCCAGCGCACACCCTGTGGCGGGCGAGAATGCCACGCCCGCGCCCAGTGACGGGCACAAGTCTGACGCATAGGGCCCCCACCCCCAGCGCGCCCCCTGCGGCGTCGAGGAAATGTCACGCCTGCCACGCCCTGGGAGCCTGCAACGCATAGGGCCCCCACCCCCAGCCACCCCTTGCGGCGTCGAGGACGTGCCACGCCTGCCACGCCCTGGGAGCCTGTAACGCATAGGGCCCCCACCCCCAGCGCACCCCTTGTGGCGTCGAGGACATGCCACGCCTGCCGCGCCCTGGGAGCCTGCAACGCAGAGGGCCCCCACCCCCAGCGCACCCCCTGTGGCGTCGAGGAAATGCCACGCCTGCCACGCCCTGGGAGCCTGCAACGCATAGGGCCCCCACCCCCAGCGCACCCCCTGCGGCGTCGAGGAAGTGCCACGCCTGCCACGCCCGCGGAGCCTGCAACGCATAGGGCCCCCACCCTCAGCGCACCCCCTCTGGTGTCGAGGAAGTGCCACGCCTGCTATGCCTGGACGACTGTCGTGCATAGCGGCCATATCGGGGCGTGTCTCATGTGGGTGCCCACTATGTGGCGCACACGTCGTGGATGTGTGATGCAGTGAACACGCCAGGCGCGCACTAGCGTTGTATGGTGTGTGTGTGTTGTGTGTGCATGCGTGCGGCCGTATGTAGATGCGTGTGTCATGTACTTGCCGTGCATGTGTTGAGCGCGGGTGAGGAGAGGAAGAAGAGGGAGGAGGGGAGGGGAGGAGACGCGGGTGCGCCGCGGCAGGGAAGAAAACCAGAACCCTACGAAACATGTGGGGAACAAAAACCTTACGCGCGACCTGGTGGGCGCGCAAGGGGACTGCCGAACGTCCGATGCATTCTTTGGTGCCAATCCTCTACGCAAGCATTCAGATTGAGATTGCTGATACGACATCAGCTGGCATTGAAAGCAGTGCCTAGGCCACACGGCTGGCTGGCTGGCTGGCCGGTAGTGGAGCGACAGGAAAAGCGAGAGGAGAAGGAGAAAGGACGGAATACCGCTGCGGCGCATTCCCATGATATGCGTGGGTGGGCGCTCGGAGGGCCTCAGAAGGAGCGCTGCCGAGAATCTCCCAAGTTGCTGATCCAATTATTGCGTATCTTGTCTGCCTGGGACTGAGGCTTGAGTAGCAATGGACTTACTGGAGTTTGTGGAGATTTCGAAGAATTCCCGCTTTCCCGAACAGGAACCACCACAGACATCCGATCCTCGGGGCGTACCTCTGCGGGCAACCGCGTGACCCTGCGACGCACTCTATCTGCGTCAACGACGCTGCCAACCCTTGACGCCTCTCTGCTCTCCAATTGCATTCCGTCTCGAATACTCTCATCGAGCTGATCCATCTTCGCTTTCATGAACTCCTGAAGCCCGATGACCTCAGACATGCTCACGGGCTTTCCCTTACGGAGGCGCACGATGACAGAGAAAAATTCTTGATATGTAATCACGGAGTCTTCAGTAGGAAAGAAGACCTCGGTCAACATCAAGAGCCCGTCGACGTCGGTCCCGCACGCTCGAAGGGTTTCTGGCACGTCGGCGTTCTGCAGGATCGGCTGGAACGTATCACCATCAATCTGCCGGTCACCGCTGTCATCCATGCAACACTTGACGACCCCCTCAAGATGGCGCTCGAGGTAAGCAATCTCCTCCGTGTCCTTATCGTGCAGCCTTGTTTCAATGGCGGCGTTACAAAAAAACACCAACAAGCATGCTCAACAGCCCGAAATAGGTCAGGAACACGAACGTGGCAAACACCGGCGCCTCGAAGATCGCGCGATGAGCACGCAAGTCGTCGAAGAATTCGCTAAGACCGTCCATGGCAACGCCGTGGGAAAGCAGCGGCAAGATCGTGTGACCCACAGACCCGAAGTACCGCTCCCTCAGATACTCGCTGCGATGGCTGGTGGCGGTGAGCAGCACGCCACAGGTGTACAGGAGGACGGCGATAAGGATCCAGACGTCAGCCGCCGAGCGCATGCCACTGGCCATCCCGTTCAGAATAGTCCCCACGGCCCGCCTTGCGCGCGTCAACTTGAGCAGCCACGCCAGCCGCGTCAGTCGCAGCACCTGGTAGGCGAGCAGGGAACCTGCGGCGGCTGGCACGTGGGGGGCCACGAGAACCTCCAGCACGATTGCAACAGTGCACGCTGCGTCAAGGCGGAACCAGGGGCTGAAAAAGCACTTTGACCTGTGCTTCATGCTCATGATTTGGAGCACGATCTCGACAATACTGTAAAGCGTGAAGATATGCTCGATTGCAATGGACTCTGTGCGCCGATTCCACAAACTCTGGTTGAACTCGCCAAGCTCCGTGCTGATCCCGATCCATAGCAGGTTCAGCAACGTCAATAGCATCGCGACCACGAAAAAGACGGAGCTCTCAGTCATCCTAGTGCAGATGTTGTCGGCTTTTTCAGAATAAACAATTTGACTGGAAAATGTGTCGACTGGCCCGAGGTGACTGAAAGACAGGCCACCCTCCTCTTCTCCTTCACCTATTCCGAGCAAGCCGTGCTGGCGCTTCTTGTACTTCTCGTAGGACTCCCAGCGTGACCCGCCATGGAAAATCGACCTCGCCATGGCGTGGGCATGACGCCTCCACTCGACGTACCAAACCTTGACACCAACCCGGCGAACGCTCCGGATGTTACGTGACTTGGGGTCCAACTGGACCATATCGACGAAGAAAATCCGCCGACCCCTTGTGGGTCTCTAGGCGTGTGAGATAGTTCCCCCCCTAACCCCCCCCATGGGACCCACCGACTATTCGCCCCCCCCCCCCCCCCCCGGCCCGGCCCGAGCGAACCACGGGCTCTTTTGGACTCAAAAGGAGCTCAAGACGGGCCAAGAAGGCCCCAAGACGTCTCCAAGACGGCCCACGAGGGCCACGAGACGCCAAACGAGCGCTCCAAGACGCCCAAGATGGCCCCAAGACGAGCCAAGAGGCCTCCAAGACGGCCCAAGAGGCATC